AATGACAGAGCACATGGGGCCCTGCGTACGACTGAACAATTCTACTGTAGTGAGGAAAGTGTGCGCGGATTGGGAGACTCACTACTCCATGAGGGTCTCTTCAGAAGAAAGCCACAGTATGGAAAGTTTCTGGCAATTAGGCACCTAACAAATATTACAATACAACTTCCACGTTAGACAAGCTGTTGTCTACAATGCAGAGAAATCTCTCCAGCAAATAATCTGCCGTGAAAAAAAGCTTTCTGAAAGAGCTGCTCCCTGCATTGTACTCTGAACTTCAGTGAACGTGGGGTCTGGGGGTCCTTCAACTAAGGGCCTTCCACTAGAAATGTCCTGTTTCCAGGTTTTTAGCATGCACAAGCAAGGATTGTCCCAGCTTCGAGTCCTCGGCTGATCTCTGCAATTGTGATGATGGCGGTGAGCAAGTAGTATTCTGAATGGCTGCATGCTTTGGGAACTCCAAACAATGCAGAGAGCCAGTTCTGCAGGGCTCAGGAACTTTGAGTGACAGTTCCTTAGCAAACGAGATTAAGACGGGCTTGCAAGAGATTTGTGCTCTGGCGCCATCTAAAGGTTCTGATGAAGAAATGGAAGGAACGTCAGCCTGAATCCAGGATGGTCAATAATATTTGGTGGGATGCCACTCCAAGATTTTGGCAAGTGGTCAAGGGCCGCACGTATCTATGGAGAGGGTGTGGGGTCTTGGATGGAGGCTGGGTGCAGAAGGGAGCTTAGGGTAGGTGACTGTGGTGCAGGGGAGGGTGTGGGCTCTGCGAAGGAGTTTGGGTGAATTATCCGCATAATCATCTTGCAATAAGGCAGGTTTGCCTCGGAGCAGGACAATCTTTTCCAAGGAGCAGGGTGAGAACAGGAGGGACACAGTTCTCTGATCCAGTGGTCCAGCTGTTCCCAGGCATTTCAGGGCACTTCCCTGCCCTGTGAACAAGTAAAGTTCCAGAATAGCTCAAACGTCCCCCACTGGTATCTCAAGGTGCATTCGTGGGGGAGCGGTCAGCCACACGAGCATCATGGCTCTTCTGTTGAAATTCATTTATCAAGTAAATCAGGATAATCAGATCTGTCCAAAACTGACGGTGCCATTGGAGGGTCTAGGCTAGAATTTGCGATACAAATTAGACACCAAGAGGGCCCCTCTCCACCCAGGTTACAAAATGTCAGTAGAATGTTTTTATGTTGATATGGGCATGATAGCTTATATCTGACATTAATTTCCTGGAAGGACAGGAGAAGCACTTGCTGGGAGGACATATATAGGCCTTTACAGGCAGACCTGAATATCTAAAAGCAAAATCAATATCCAATCTATCTGTTTGTGGCCTTGTTCTTAAGCTAAGGTTTTTGGCACGTTCCAAGGCATTCATCCTGAAAGAAGGCCCATTCCAACCATTCAGGGCCCTTAGCTACAGCCTACAATAAACAGAAGAGACTAGAAACTTAGGTTGGTAGCTTTCTGTCTGGCAACGGCCTACAGCTCCCCATTGTTTATCTGTCTGGTTCTTTGTTTGTCTCTGTCTCCTGTGTAATTAATTTGGCTGGGTGCAAACCCATTAAGGTGGTGGGATATAATTGGTTCGATCAATCATGTTACAATATATTAGGATTGGTTAGTTATGTTTCAGGAGAATGGGATACCTGAAGGGATACCTGAAAATACCGCTAGCTGTATTCAGGGCTTGACAAATTATGCAAAACCCTACTCGCCGGACTAAAAAGGGACTCGCCACCCCCACCGCGTGACCTCCACCGCACAGGCGCACGCCACCGGAGAACGGGACGACCGGGACGGCATGTTTGCTTGTGTGATAGGGCGGGGCTGCCCTGCAGCGGCGAGGGCAACCTGCTGCACACTCCAACGGCACCGACCCCTGTGCTGCATGGGGAACGTGGCGTTCTGACAGCAGTCTACACCACTTGCTGCCATGCAGCCACCCAGCTGAGCGGTGTGCAGGGGGGCCAAGTCCTGAGATGGGAGCCGGAAGCGGGGGTGAGGCCACACATGGGCGTAGGGCAGGGCCAGAGTATGCATGCATCCCTGCCGTCAGGGGGAGAGGCGCCGGCGCAAGAGTGCGCCGCATTGAAAAGGGGAGTAGAAGAGAGGAGGGAGGCAGAGGAGACGGAGGAGAGTTACGGAGGGAGAGGGGAGAACAGAGGAGTGAGTTAGAAGGCGGCGGTGGGCGGAGGAGTGAAGGGTGAGAGCGGAGGAGAGAGGAGGGGGACGGGAGATGGAGGAGGTCAGAGAACGCAGAAGGGAGATGGGGAGTGGAGCAGAGAGCAGAGCGTAGGGGCAGAGGACATGAAAAGAGGAGTGGAAGTAGGAAGCAGCCCAGGGCAGGGCTCCTTAGGACTGCCAGCGAGCTGGTGAGTTACAGCGAATATCCCACCAGTTGGACAGAGTCCGGACGGAGTCTGTCCTTAGGGCTCTGGGCTGGGGCCCATGAGAGAGGGCGGCCCCGGGCCCCCCTATCTCCACTCCCCCCATTTTGGAGGGGCTGAGAGCAGACAACTGACAATTGAGATGCCTTGGGGACAACCGAGTGTAGCTCGTCCCAGGGGAGACTAGAGGTCGGCTGGCAGCCAAGGAGGGCGCCGCGACCATCCGGACTGAGAGAAAGAGAGACCTCTAGTCTCCCCTGGGACGAGCTACACTCACTGCAGCAGATTGGGGCCAGGTGAGATGCACCTCTCCATGGCCGCTGCAGCTCCAGCAGGCACAGAGGGAGGGGTGCGTGTCCCTCAGCTGGTGTAGGCCCAGGTTCATCAGCCCCCTGCACTCCCTAGCCAGAGTGAGACTCCCTAAAGAGCCTAATCATGACGAGGTGGGAGGTCTGGGGTTGGGGCAGTCCTGGATGGGTTCCAGCCAGCCCCTCTCACCTGCCTGGTGATTCTGTCTCTTTTCTGTCTGGTTTTATGGGTTCCCTACAAATTGGGAGTGGGGGAGCTGCAGGCTCCGGCCCAGCCCTCCATAAAGGGCACCTCAGGGGTTGGAGACTTGGGACTGGGGCAGTCCCAGAGGTGGGGGTCACCCCCAGCCAGCCCCTTTCACCTGCCTGATGAGTCTGTCTTTTCTGTCTGGTTTTATGAGAAGCAATCCCATTCCAAGCACCTCCTATTGTCCTGGCACTAACAAACCCAGACCTTGCTGTAAGTTATGACAGGAGGGAGCTGCATATGGAATTTGTTAGTTTTAGTTCTTACCATTTAGGAGGAGTTCTTGATCAAACAGACTCATAGCCACACAAACTCTCTCTAATATATACTAGACATAGTTTATTAATCTAGAGGGGTTGCCGTAACTTTAGTTAGTCTGTAACTTTAAAAGCAATGAATGGTCCTGTGACACCTTAGAGACTAACTAAAATATAGAGAATCACGAGCTTTCATGGGTAAAAGCTGCTTCCTCAGATGAATTGGAGTGGAAATAACAGAATAACAGAAACCAAGAGAGCTATATAACAGCAGCAGAAGTACCTGGCAATTGTAGGGCCCATGTTAATGAGGCTAATTAAGTGGGCAGGATTGTTCCATACATTGCGTTTGTTGTGGAATATCACTGATTTCAATTTATTTGTTATTTCTCTCCTACCCAGCTATTTGACCTGGTCTTAACCAGTTATTTTGGATTTTCCTGAGTAAAGGTGCACCTGTGAAGTTTGAGGGTATTCTTGTGCCATTAAAGGTCATTATATCTAGGTGAAAGGTCCAGATTATGTGCACATGGACTTTGCTATCCAGGTGAAAAGGCCCAGGAATAGGTCTGCTAGCTTTGTCTTAGCTCAACATATAGGATGTTGCCTGTAAGTCCCTTGCATTACAGCAAAACTACTTTAATATAAACCTACTGTAATGTATTAAAATAAACATATAGTCAAAACCTTAAGAAAATAATCTAATCTATCTATCTGTCTGTCTGCAAATGAAAGAAATATATATATATATAAATGCAAACAAGCAGGTTAGCCCTATAGGCTACACAGTATTTCAAGAGGATAACAGACTATGACACCCATGTCTAGCCAGCAGAAAGGAATTTGTTTGCCTGGGCAGGTGGATCTCTGAACATCAACCTTTGTCCTCCAACATGTATCATGATCTAAAGATCCCTGTTATCTTTTTCCTTGTACGCAGCCACACCTGCACAATTAGGGTGCGGAGAAAATTGGGCCAAAGCTCCCCTAGAACATTTGAGATGTTCCTTCTGCCGAGTACTGATTAGGAATGGACAGAAGAGTTTGGATACGTTCATTGTGTCAGAGCATTGCTATTGGGTTCAAACTCAGCCTGGACTGGAGGTTTATGAAGGCTTGAGGGTATAAGTTGTTTGTGGCCAGGAACGGACATGCAAATGCCAAAGCAAGAATCTTATTTGACCAGAATCAACCCCCAAGTATTTTTTCTCTACTAAGGCTTATCACTAGCCTTAGTAGAGAAAAAGAAAGCCAGTGGCCAGTAAACATAGGATCTTCTCGACAACCTATGTGAAGCCTTTTATATTCAAGCTAAACAAACTGACAGATTTAATACTCACTATGTGTTTCTGTGAGCACAGGAATAATAAGATATGCATCTCGTTAGCTAGGGATTAAGCCTGAGCAGTGTATATTTAATTAGACTCTAAAGAGCTTATTTCAGGGTTAGAGAGGTCCACCAGAAAGAGAAAAAAACACAACATAACCATTTCAGGAAGATGGATACATCTCTGCCATCCAGGGAAACGTGCTCTTAAATATGCTAAAAATATAACTCTGTTTCCATGTAAGGTAAGGGGAAAAATTGACTTGCGGCTTTAGTATGGGTCATTTAATCTGTTTACTTAAGACCTGTCCTCCCACGGACTCACCTTCAACACTATTAAGGAATACCTTTCCCAATGACATTCACTCTTCAAAAGTGTCCTCAACCTCTGGCCATCCTAGGGGCAGCATCACGGAGCATTAGATCTCCTTGTCTGAGGAGCACTTTGGAAGGGAGGAACACTTTTTGGACAGACCGTGCTCCCAGGATAACATATCTCAAGATCTAAGAGGTTTCACCATGAGTCTCCAAGAGGACGACGTGGAGAAGTTTCTCGATGGTAATCCTGCCTTTGCCAAGCAATACTTTGATAAGAAACTGAGATCAGAACCACTGAGCGACAGCCAAACGTCAGAGGAAAGCGAGATACTTTTTGAGCTGATCCAAGACATGCAGGAAAGCATTAACATGGAGAAGGTTGTTTTCAAGACTCTAAGAAGAATCAGCTCTCTCATCCACGCGGACCGCTGCAGCCTTTTCATGTACCGGCAAAGGAATGGCACGCCAGAGCTGGCTACCCGACTTTTCAACATCGACAGAGACAGCACGCTGGAGGAATGTTTGGTGGCCCCAGACTGTGAAATTGTCTATCCTTTGGACATCGGCATTGTGGGGCATGTTGCTCAAACCAAGAGAACAATGAACATCAAGGATGTCCATGAGGTAGGTTCTTCCTTTGGTTTGCTCCTTTAATGGAAGACTCATAAGAACTAGACTTGCTAGCCATGTTTATAGCATTACGGGAAAACAATAAACAGGCATAAGAGAAATCGATGATGTAGAAGTCTCATATGCTCTGCATCAAGTGTAGGGCTGGACAGCAGACACAGATGTCACAACTTAAAAAACAATGAATAGTCTAGTAGTACCTTATAGACTAACAAAACATGTAAATGGTATCATGAGCTTTCGTGGGCACAGCCCACTTCTTCAGATGTCACAGTTATTTAAAAAAAACTTGACAATTTATTGTGTGAGATATTTTATGGATATAAACTAACAACTGAATTATGTGAGACTTAGTGTGCTCTGGGCACAATGCCTTGTGTCACATTTTACATGGACTCAACATGAGAAACTCATCCTTTTTTTAAAAAGATCATTCTAATGCCGCGCCTATATCAGACACGTGTAACAGCCTAACCTGCACTGGCTACGCTCTGAGGTACTTACCTGGAAACTGCACGCCCTTAGAGAGCACCCAGAAATATTTTACCACCACAGGAATTTTTTTTCCCTGTCTCGAGTGTCTACCGCTTGGTGCAGGTCACTGCTCGTTAGAGAGAGATATTTGGGAGGCAAGGATTCAAGGCATCCTTAGAACCCTCCTTACATATTTTTATTGCCTTACATATTCATACAATTAGAATGTACCCTCAGTGAAGCATTTGAATCCAAACGGAAGCAGGCTAATCTGAGTTATAATCTAAAATCCACGTGTTCCAAATATGACAGCTAGGATTACTCCAGCTACAATTCTCTTGTAACAGCTCAGCCATCTGTCTATCCATTCAGTCAAAGCTCTCCACAGGTGTACGCGAATGCCTTCGCAAAGTTGCCCTGTTTTACAGAGTAGTAGGTTAAGGGCTGCTTTTGCTTTGTAGCCCTTCCTTGTGCTGAGGGCAAATCAGAGGAGAATAATATTTTAACAGTCACATTTGCCCTCATGCCCTGGTCTGCATTTCCAAGCAGGGAGCCCTCCAAGAAAACTCCATTTCTTGCAAGTTCCACCAGTAGACATTAGGAAAAACTTCCTGCCTGTCAGTGTGGTTAAACACTGGAATAAATTGCCTAGGGAGGCTGTGGAATCCCCATTACTAGAGGTATTTAAGAGCAGGTTGGACAGACAGCTGTCAGGGATGGTCTAGATGGTGCTTGGTCCTGCCGTGAGGGCAGGGGACTGAATTTGATGAACCTTCCAGTTCCAGTGTTCTATGATGCCATGATTTTAACTACTGTCATTTACTGGGTGTGTGAGTTCCCGGGAAGGCCAGGTCACGGAGGGTGAAGAGCACGGCGAGGAAGGCCGGCGTAGGGGTTAATGTCCTGGAGTAGGATGCTTGTGTAGGCTTCTACTGCTTACCGTGCAGCCTGGAGCATAGTTGAAGCAATTTGAGCGTCAGAGTTCCTGCTTTCAGTACCAACTGCACAACTCTGGAGATGCTGCTGATCTGTCTCGGTGGAAGAGCTACCGGGCCAGCCAAAGGACGCAGACACAATGGGCAGAAATGCCATCTATAGACCAGGCAGCAAGGGGGAAGCTAGAAGGACTTTAAAAAGAGGGTCTTTTAGATCAGCGTTTCTCCATCTTTTTGATACCATGGCCCAGTTTGCCGCCTTCTTGAGCTGTATCAGGGGATCTCAGGGACTAGCACTGGCCAATGGACTGGCTATTGAGACACACTGGTCTAGATGCCAGGGGTACAAGTATCTTTTGTTGAAGTTATCTCATTGGCCAGCTCTTCATCCTGTTTTTCCATCTCTGCCCCCACCCCCATTGGGTCAGCACCTGTCCTTTGTTGGGAAGCCGGTTTGATTTTAGACCAGTGATACTTGGTGATTCAGGAGCCAAATCAGTGATCAACATCATCCAAGAGAGCCACAGCTGTCTGACTTCATTGTCTCCTTGCCTATAAACAGGGTGATAGAGAACTAGATTTTATAGTCACGTCCTTCTTATTCTCACCGCAAAATGTCTGGCCTGATATCATTAGTTTATCAACAACCACGACTGGTTAATAACACAGTGAACACAGACAGGTTCATAATTAAACCCTGCAGTGTTTTCATATCATGGAGCCACCAGAGACACGTGCATGAGCTTGCGAGCTCAGCCTGTCATTTCAGAAGATTCTGGG